GTAAAGTGGGTCCACCCTGATATTGTCCCACACCGTTTGAAAATCATGGCTATGGCATTGATCCTCATCCATCATTGTAACCCTCATCACCATTCTCAACAATCATCGTTATCATCATCACCACAACCTAAATCATCCTCATCCATCATCATCCTTTTCCTCATCATCATCAACCTCATCCTTATCCTACTTATCATCATCACTCATTCATCATTCATCATCATAGTCCTCATTATCATCATCATCCATCATCATCCTTGTCCTCATCATCATCAACCACATCATCATCATCATTATTAATCATCATTATCAATTATCATCCTCATCATGAGAATGATGATGAAGAGGAGAACAACAAGAATGAAAATGAGAATAAGGGGCAGAGGGGATGTTTCTCATTCTTCATCATTAACCTCATCAACATCATTCTTATCAATTATCCTCATCATTATCACTATCATCCTAATCAATCATAATCATCATCATCCTTATCTTCATTATCATCAAACTCATCATCCTAATTCTCCTTATTATCATCATTATCCTCACCATCCTTATCAGCATCATTTTCTTCCTCACCATCATCCTAATCATCTTTCTTCTCCTCCTCATGATCAACATATTCCTTATAATGGGGATTATAATGAGGATGGGGATGACAATGAGGAAGATGATGATGATGATAATAATAATGACATCAGTATTATAAGAATACCAGTACTAACGCTAATATTAATGTGAATTATAAACTATAATTTTTTTTGAAACGCTTAAGAATAATTATATAGAGTACTATAATAATAATATTATAAAGTAACAACATAATAGTATAATAATGATGATGAAAAAAAATGTAGTGTAGAAAGATTAAATTTAAATAGGTAAACATTTCCTTTAATTTTGATTGTAGTAGTCTTGGAATTTGGTGTGTTGACGTCACCATTCCAAATTTGCTTGGAAGGTGGGGAATTCCCACCAGACAGGCATAGACTCCCATTTTCCGATGCCACGACGAGGTTGCCACACCACAAATAATGATTTGCTTATCCATAAAACATTAAATTAGTTGCCAATTCCTAATATTTTGGTTTAAAAGCAAAATTTTGGGCCATACTAAGCTAAAAAAATAACTCTCCCATAAGCCCAGAGATTTTATTCCGGGACTCTGACCGAGGGTCTAGTTGGCTCTGTGTTTGGACCCACCCTATCAGACCCCCCTGGGGCCACCACTGAACGACTGTAATGGGTAAGTATTTAACTAAGGTCCTGTCAGTTTTTACAGTTATAGAAAAAAAAAAAACCCTAAAAGTGACTAAAAACATAAACATGTTTCCTATACCCCGATCCAAAAATTGGTATTTTAAAGCAAAATTTCACTATTTCGT